GCAACTGTCAGGCAACTGTTCTCAAATGTCTACTCTGGTGAGTGATAAACATACTCTTTGTTTCCCCATTTTCTCACGGCTTCTTTCAATGTACTGAATGTAATGCACAGCTGAGGCGGTCACTGCTCAATGTCGCTGTCCATGGTACTGAAAGGGTTCACGGCTTCATTTTTGAAAAAAAAAATAAAATAAAAAAATTCCAATCTGTTGTTAAGGCACTGTCTGTAATAGCTCAACTTCATCAAATGCCACAAAATTACTATCATACATAAAATCCCACTGACCACTTTCACTCATATTCAGACATCCCTAAACAGTTTCACTGAACGTCAAAGTCAATATTAAGGACATTCACTTTGTTGCATGACTTAAAATTTTTTACGTGCCCTTTGTTTCTCTGAATAAATTGCTCTTCTCTGGGTCTCTTTAAGAAAACAGGGATTGGGCTACGTAAATGACAACTGAAAGAAAAAGAACCAGAAAATACACATACTACTTGGTCTGAAGTGTCTCCCTGATGGTAGATTATTATTAGGCCATTGTTTAGATTTTTCTTCTTCTCTTGCAGTTTAACTCTGATTTTTTTATACTTTATATTAAAGATATTTACCAGTGTTTCAGAACAGAACATCAACTCTGACCCAAAAATAATGCAGTCTGTGTACAATTTGAAAACATGATTTCACTGTCATCATACTCTTAAGATGCTCATGTCGAACACTGTCTCGCGACTGTATGACCAAATGCTTCATTCATAGTGTTATTATATGAGGATGTTTATTCCCCGATATTTTATTTATAGAATAAAAAGTCTCATTGCGTTTTAAATGCAACATTTGAACGTTTTCCAGCACTGTGTACATCAGAAACATTACCGTGGATGGGCTCTGAGCGCCGCTGTTGATTCATCACTGACAAACAGTCTAAAGAAGCAGTGCAGCGGTCCACCCCTTTAACTGTATTCAGTGTTTGGCTGCTTGGTGAGACGACGCTCTGGCCCGTCAACATTTACCGTGTGGAATCTGTCGTGTATTTTCTTTGCTGAGGATACCATTCCCTTTTCAATTTGTGGATTTCTGATCATTCTTCTGGCACTGAAAGACATCATTGCATCGGTGTTTCTGGATTCACGATGATTTTTCAGTGGATGATCGCTGGCAGAGGCCGATGGCAGGCACTGGTTGTCATTCTTTGTCTGTTGAAGCTGAGCTCGGTGAGCGGTCAGGCTCGGTACTCCGTACCGGAGGAGCAAGCAGAGGGCTCTTTTGTCGGAAACATTGCTCGAGATTTAGGTTTGGACGTG